AGCAGTGTCGCAACACTGCTTTGCGGAGAATCAGAATGTTGCGACACTGGAATCATACAAGAATAAGTTCTCTTTACTCGTTAGCTGTGTCCATCGTCCATCCAACGCCAACGAGGACTTCGATCGTTGTCTCTCACTGACACTTTATGCCGCGGTCGAATTATGCTTTAAGTATCACCTGATTACAGGTGACTTCAGTCTTCCTGAAGTCCGCTGGTCTTTGCCTTCCAGTCCCAAAAAGTTCGAAAATTTACTTGAGGCTGTGGATGTTGGCATGTAAAGTCAGATTCGATTTTCCCATCCGAGGATCAAACATGCTTGACCTAGATTTCTATGTATATTGCATGCCTATTTAGTGTTATCCTTGGGCTCTCTCGTGAGCTCAGACCAAGACATCGTCTCTTCTACGTAAGAACGCGAGGCCGATTAAATTTAGTTCCCAAAATATATTTTCTTCTTCAATTTCCAGTCAGCCCGACCGGTCGGACGTCATTTTCTCTAGGGTCTTCCGTTGCTTGATGGGTTCCATTAACGTCCGTTACTTCAGTCAGAACAGTGGACAGTAAGGGCTTGCTTATGCTGTCGCCTCGAGCGTCTGGTTCCACGGTGCCTGTGTTAACTGAGTAACTGCCGTCGTTCTTGGTATAACTGACTGGTCCCACTGAAACGGCATATTCTTCAGAAATACGTTCTCTTTGAAGATTGCCAGGTTGTATTCGCCACACTTTAGTCTTGATATTAATTCCGAGACAAGTTTCCAGCGTTTCAGTCATTCCGTTGGTGAGAAATCCGATTGAAATACCTGTTTATTTGAGTTTCTGAGGTTGGCATTTTGGAAAAGATCAACTTGATTTGCTCTTTGTTCTCCAGAATAATTTTGAGAGGACGAGGTGGTAGTGCTGCTGTCATATCTTCACTCCTTTTTTCCTATCCGGAATGCGTTCAGGACTTTTATTTCAATGTTTGTCTGGAATACTTGGTTTAGTGGGTCATGAAACGAAGCAAGATCCTCTGAGTTACGGTCTTCAGGTCTGACTGCACTCGATTCACACAAACCCTGTACAAAAAGACGCAGTTTGTGGGCCAGGTACTCATTATTACTTTCCTCCTGTGAATTCTGTTGTAGCGGCTATGCGGTGATGATGTACGCTCAGTACGCCACAACTTCAGGCAATATCCCAAGTTGTAAGAAGCGGGACGTCAGTTGAAGAGGAAAATGTTTTATTTGTTCGGTACAAAATAATGAAGGGAAGGTGGCAACCGGACGAGCATGCGTCCGGCGCCACGGAGACGGCGTCCGCGAGAGCGACGAGTCGTGTGTCGCCAAATGTCGCCGCTGCAAATATGTTGTGGCCTTCTTGCCTCGTTGCTGTCTGTTCCAAGTCACGTCCGCAAGGGCGGCGTCCCGTGTGTGTGCACTTGTAACCAGTCAGCGAAAGAGAGTTGCTTTGGTTGGCTCGGAGCCCACGCGAAAGTTATGTGGCAAATCATCGACTAGGATTGTGGCGTGGACGGGAGTGCAAATCGAGGATTAGCGAGCGCAGCCGTGGAGCGCAAACAGTAGAACTAGGGGACAGAGGAATGGCTACTAGCGAGATGCGCAACGTTGCCAGTATGGCTGTCCGCACAGCTCCCCCCCCCCCACACAGAACGAAGTGAATGTGTCGATCGTGAGGCTGACAATGAACTGTGTGGAATTATCCAGTGCACATGCGGGTTTGAGAGCGTGTAGCGAGCGTCAAAGACAGAACAGTCAAGCCCAGACTATAAAAATCAGGATAAGACCAGAGTTATGGAAGAATTAATAATCAAAAGTCAAACGACCTGACCATCCCACTCATGCCAAGCGCGTCGCGTCGAGTTGTGTTCATTCCATTCAGTTAAACAACCAGTAAGTTCAAGAAT